GTAGCTGCCCTGATGCAAAAATTTTAAATACAATATTAGCAGAGATTATAGCAATTTATCATGAGGATAATATAGTATGACCAGGTAGGATTTATACCAGGAATGTAGGGCTGGTTCAACATTAGGAAAACCATCAGTGTAACTGACCATATCAATAACAAAACTAACAGGCACAGCTAGGTGGCTCAGTGGATAGAGCACTGGTCCTGGAGTCAGGAGGACCTGAGTTCAAATTCAGTCTCAGACTAGACACCTGAAACTTACTAGCTATGTGCAAGTCACTTAATTCCAATTGCCTCACCAAAAAATTACAAAACTAACGGAAATCATATGATTATCTCAATAGATGCAGAAAAAGCTTTTTGACAAAATACAGCACCCATTCCTATGAAAAACACTAGAAAGCATAAGAATAAGTGGAGTTTTCCTTAAAATGGTAAATATCTATCTAAAACCATCAGCAAGCATTATAAGTAATGGAGATAAGCTAGAAGCTTATAAGATCAGGGGTGAAACAAGGATGCCTATTATCACCCCTATTATATATTGTACTAGAAATGTTAGCTTTAGCAATAAGAGATGAAAAAGAAATTGGAGGAATTAGAATAGGCAATGAGGAAACAAAACTATCACTCTTTGCAGATGATATGATGATATATTTAGATAATACCAGAGAATCAACGAAAAAACTACTTGAAATAATGAACTTCAGCAAAGTAGAAGGATATAAAATAAACAAAGCCCAGTAGCGAGAGACAGAAAGAGAAATTCCATTTAAAATAACTGTAGATAATATAAAATATTTGGAAGTCTACCTGCCAAGACAAACTTAGGAACTACATGAACAAAATTACAAAAACACTTTTCACATAAAGTCAGATATAAACAATTGGAAAAATATCAATTGCTCATGGGTAGCTGAGCTAATATTAAAAAAAGACAATTTTACCAAAATTAATTTACTCATTCAGTGCCATACTAATCAAACTACCAAAAATTATTTTAAACAGTTAGAAAAAAAATAATAAAATTCATCTGGAAGAACAAAAGGTCAAGAATATCAAGTGAATTAATGAAAAAAAAAATGCAAAGGAAGGTAGACTAGCCATATCAGATCTAAAACTATATTATAAAGCAGTAATTATCAAAACTATTTGGTACTGGCTACGAAATATAGTGCTGGATGGTTAGGTATACAAGACACAGCAGTAAATCACTACAGTAATAAAACTATTTGATAAACCTCAAAACTCCAGTTTCTGGGATAAAAACTCACTATTTGACAAAAACTCCTGGGAAAACTGAAAAAGAATATGACAGAAACTAGGCATAGACCAACATCTCACACCATATACCAAGATATGGTCAAAATGAGTACACGATTTAGACATAAAGGGTAATACCATAATTAAATTAGGAGAACAAGGATAGTTTTACTTGTCACATCTATGGAGAAGGGAAGAATTTATGACCAAACAAGAGATAAAGAACATTATTGAAATGCAAAATGGGTAATTTTGATTATATTAAATTAAAAAAGTTTTTGCACAAAGACAATGCAACCAAAATTAGAAGGAAAGCAGAAATCTGGGAAACAATTTTTCAGCCAGTGTTTCTGATAAAGGCCTCATTTCTCAAATATATAGAGAAATGAGTCAAACTGATAAGAATACAAGGCATTCCCTAATTGATAAATGGTCAAAGGATATGAACAGGCAGTTTTCAGATGAAGAAATTAAAGCTATCTATAGTATGAAAAAATGCTCTGAATCACCACTGATTAGAGAAATGCGAATTAAAAATAACTCTGAAGTACCACCCCACATCTATCAGATTGGCTAATATGACAGAAGAGGAAAATGATAAATATTGGGAGAAAATGTGGGAAAATTGGAACACTAATGCATTGCTGTTGGAGTTGTGAACTGATCCAACCATTCTCGAGAACAGCTTGGAATTAAGCCCAAGGGCTATAAAACTCTACATACCCTTTGATCCAGAAATACCACTACTAGGTCTGTCTGCCAAAGAGATTACAAGAAATGGAAAAGGTTACAAATGTACAAAAATATTTATAGCAGTTCTTTTTGTGATGGCAAAGAATTGGAAATTGAGGGGATGCCTATTAATTGAGGAATGGCTGAACAAACTGTGGTACATGACTGTAATGGAATACTACTGTTTCATAAGAAATAGTGAACAGGCAGACTTCAGAAAAACCTGAAAAGAGTTGCATGAACTGATGTTGAATGAAGTGAGCAGAACCAGGAGAACACCATATATGATAAGAACAACATTGTGTGATGACCAACTTTGTTAGACTTAGCTCTTCTCAGCAATACAACGATTTAAGACAATTCCAAAAGACTCATGATGGAAAATGCTATCCACATCCAGAGAAAGAACTTTGGAGTCTGAATGCAAATAGAAGCATACTATTTTCACTTTTTTTCCCTTTCTCGTGACTTTTTCCTTTTGTTCTGATTCTTCTTTCACAACTTGATTAATGGGAAAATATGTTTAATATTATTGTACACGTATGACTTTTATCAGGTTATTTGCCATCTTGAGAAGGGGGGAGGGGAGGGAGAAAAAAATGGAACTCAAAATCTTATAAAAGTGAATGTTGAAAACTATCTTTACATTGTAATTGGAAAAAAGTAAAATATTATTAAGTGGGGAAAAAAAGCAAAAAACAAAAAATATAATGGATTTTAAAAAGTGAAATTGGGATAAAGAGGAAAATTAAAGTAAACTTTAGGTCGGCTGTTTAATTTTTGTCTCTGAATTCCCAATATCCAACAGTTCCTGGCGTGTAATAAGCGCATAAATGCTAACAGACTGATTAATCAAAGAAGGGATGGGACTTCTCTTCGGGATGGGTAAGATGATAAGTAACAAGAGAAGATAAAGCTGCTCAATTTTAATTTTATAGAATGGAAAAGATAAAACACAAATGGCTTACAGGCAGCTAATACCCAAGGAGATAAGATAATAAGAGACTGTCTAAGTTCCCCCTGAGTTCAAGTCATCAGTGATTAAATATTTTTAATTTTATTTTTTTAAAGCATTTATTTTATTTTCTTCCCAACACCCTTTCCTCATTGGGTGGGAAGGAAAGAAAAGTATAATCTTTGTAACAAATATATATAATCAAAGAAAACAAGTTCCCACATTGGTCAGTGGTGATTTTTGAGATATGGTCAATGATTTCTGAAATATTACAGAGAATGGGAGGGGTAGACAGAACTGGAAGAAGGTAAATATGTCCTTAATTTTCAAGATTCCTACTCTTTTACTTTGCCCTGGTCAGGCCACATGTCGAATACCATAGTTAGTTCTGGGAGCCATATTTTAAGGACATTAGAGAGGACAGAAAAGAAGGTTAAGTAGGATGGCTTAAAGAGCCTTAAGATCAGAACATCTGAGGATCAGCTGAAAGAACTGGAAATGTTTAATCTGAAGAAGACAAGACATATAGTAGGCAAAGGAAGTATATTTGAAGGGGTGTCAAAAGGAAGAGGGATTAGACTTGTTTTATTTGGATCCACAGGATAGAACTAGGAGCAATGGGTACATGTTGGAAAGTGTAATTATTTTGGCTTGATGTAAGAAAAACCTTTCTAGCAATGAGTTATCCAAAAGAGGAATCAGGAGGTAGGTTCCTCCTCACTTGAGGTCTTTGACATGTATGGTATATTGTTCAGATACAGGTGGACTAGAAAGCCAGTGAAATCCCTTTCTACTCTAAAAGTCTATGGGAAATCTTATGATGAGATTATTTCAATAGTCTAGGCAAAGTGGTGCTGAGGGCACGTAAGTACAGTGGTAGCAGAAGCATTAAGAGATGAAGTGATATGATAGGACAGGGGTGCAGGAGTTGGAAACTGGTTGTTTACAAGATGTTAGCGAAAGGGAAGAGCCAAAGAATATAACTATATTTTGAACACGGACAAGAGATGATGGAAAGTTAGTGATGCCTGGATAATAAGAAAGAGATCATATCAAGATGAAAAGGGTGGTCTATAATGTCAAATGATACGCAGAGGTCAAGGAAGACAAGGACAGAAAAAAGATCATTGGAGTTAGTGATAAGTACATCATTAATGACCATGGTGAGTCAGTTAGTTAATAAACATTTATTAAGCACTTGCTACATGCCAGGAACTGTACTAAGAGCTAGAAATACAACAAAAGGCAGGAGACAGTCCCTGCCCTTGAGGAGCTCACAATCTAATAGGGAAGATAAAAGTAAACAACTATGTACAAACAAGCTACCTACAGAATAAACAGGAAATAATCAATAGCTGTTTCAGTACAGTGGTAGGCATGAATGCAAGATGTTAAGGTATTAAAGGATGAGTAGACAGAGAGGAAGCAGAGGTAAAGAGTTAGTTCTTTTTCTAGAAGTATGGCACAGAAAGGGAGGAAGGGATAGAAATAGTTAAGACAATGGCACAAGAGGGCTGCAATAAGATGGGCATGCTTGTAGGTTGAAAGGAAGGAGCCAGCAGAAAAGGAGAGAATAAAAGTTTAACAAACTCTCAAACACATCTGATGAAGTAATGTCATGGATAAGAAAAGTAAGGATAGACTATGTCCACTGTGGGGGGGGGGGGGGGGGGGGTGTTCCTTTACAAGGAAGTAAGGAGCCAGAATATGGACTTAGGAGACAAACAGAATAGAGGTTTAGAATAGCCACTGTATGGAGTGTGCTAGAGAGCCAATAAAAGACCAATTTTAAAAGGACATAAGGAGTAATGTAGAACCCAAGAAAGTCCTTTAAAACATAAGTGTCAAGCGTATATGTAGCTGTTCAAAAGTGGGATGAGCTGTCTTGAAAAACAGTGGATTCCTCCTTACTAGAGAACTTCATGTGAAGGCTAGAGGAATACTTTCAAGAGGGGATTACAGTTCAGGCAAAGACAAGCTCATTTGGACTTTGAATACCTTGCACCTGAGATTCTGTGATTAGGACACCTTTTGCAACAGACGATTACCTTTGAGCTTCCAATCTTGCAGTAGATCTGGTTGTGGCTCTTGAATACTTTTCATCCTCATCTTCCTCCTCCTCCTCCTCTTCCTCCTCAGACTCTTGGTCCTTCTTGTCCTCAACTGCTTCAGACATTGATTTCCGACGTTTTCTTTCTGGCTCTGATGTTTCTGCTTGGACAGAATTTCAACTGTGGTTCTATACAATTCCCAAGGATACAGTCACTAAGTTTAGAAGGACAACTAAGAAGGGGACTTGGGAGCAAAAGAAGCGGTTTTCCACTTCCTTTTTGTTTTAGTATTTGCAATTTGCACTTGTTTAACAATCTCTCAAACACATTTGAGATAGTTTACTTATGCAGTTCACAGCCAGAATTCATAGAAAATTCAGTTGTACTCAGAAAAACATCTGGTATATACCAATTCTGACATGGGATTATAGCAATTTGCACTATTTATGTAATATTAATACAAGCTGTGAAGCACTGGATCTTTTCCCTCAATGAAGAAAAATACAAATAAAAACCGATTTTAAATGATTAAATAATCTGTACTCAAGAACATAAAAAAAAATTTTCAACTAGTTAAGATCAATTCTTTTGAACCATACCAGTTTCTTCTAATCCTGTGAAAGAGCGCTTGGGCTTTCTTCCTCTTCGACGCATAATTGCTACCATTTTCTCTTCTCTAATGTCCTAAGTGTAATCAAATCAAATGAGACCGAAGTTCAGAAGGAATTCCAATTTTCACTTAAGACATACATTTGTAAAATAAAAATGATAAAATAATGGACACTTACATTGGCCAAATTCACTTCTTCATTTGCTATCTCTTTATTAGAGTCATCTTTAAGACAAACAAAGAAATTAGCATATTAATACTTTATTATTTCAAATTGTTTAGGCACTAGCTCTCATGAAAACACTAATTATTCTGTAAAAATCCAGCAAAGTAGAATTAATAAAAAATATGCACAAGCTACCTTTTTCAATAATGAAGATTTGGCTTCTCTTACAAGGGAAATGTTCAATATTGAAGCCAGACACTGTAATACAGAGAGAGCTCACAAAATAAAAACAATAACCCCAATTCTTTTGTTATTTATCATTTCCCCAGGAAGACAAAGTTTATATTGAGTTGAAAGGGGAAGAATTTAACTTTATAACCTTCCTTTAACTGAGATTTTGTTTCAGTGTAAACAATACTATAAAATATTATTGAGCTATACTTTCCTCAAAATTTATTAAAAAAAGAAAAGCTAAGTTTGATTTAATGGATTACGTGAAACAAAAATTGTAGGAACATTTTTCAGTTGCAAAATCTCATATATCTGATGACCTCTTATAGTAGATTACTGACAATGATTGTTTCTTCTGAAGAACTTTAATGCAAGAAATTTAAAAGTCTTTATCAAAATAGGGCAAAGAAGTAGAAAACTATTATTATATGTTTTGTTACTGATATTCAGATAAACTATGGTAAAATCATACCCTTAGAAACATAATTAGCAAAAGCAGTCACAACATGGTTAACCTACAACAACCCAATGAAGCTCTTAAAAGATTTCTTCATATAAAATGATTTATCATTGCATAAAATATTATGAAATAATAAAAAGTGGTAAAAAAAAATCTTACTGATAATGTATCTTGTCTTTACACAGCCACACTCAAAGAAAAAAAAAGTAATCTCTTTAAAGGCTAGAACACTACAAAAAACTGTCTCACTAGTTTCATGCCTTTCCAAACTATACTCTACCTGGCTGTCAACCTAATACATTAAAAACGCTGATGCTGTATGTACCTTTCTTGATATTGGATCTTTTATGCTATAAAATTCCAGTAGAATAATTTAATTCTTTATAGTAAACTGAGTTAATATATTTGTGTTTCAAATTAGATGCTCAAGCTTGCATCAGTTTTACTGTTTCCCCTAAATTTAACATCTTTTTATTTCACTCTCTCACTGTAAGGCTACATCTAGAAAAGGTTAAAAAAAAAAAAGTCAATCATCTGGATGAGTTTATTTTCCCACTTGCATTGTGAAGTCATATCTAAATTTTTACATCTGCACCTGACAATTCTTTCATAAATCTAGAACAGTGGTTTCCTTCCCAACCACAGACATTCCCCTACAATCAATTCCAAAATTTACTTCCTCTACTCTCCCATCCAAATCTAATTGAGAAGACCCTCATCTCACCCTTTCTTTGGCTTCCAGAAAACAAATATTATAAAAGTTATCAAGAATTATCTGTCATGATCAGCTATAAAGAGGAGCTGTGTATAATTACATCTTCTGTTTGTTACATGCATTCATTCTTTCATCCAATGGAAAAAAAACATTTACAAGGCATTTGCCATGTACAATATACTATGCTAGGCATTATGGGAGATAGAAAGATTCTGTCCTTAAGGAATTTACAAATCTAGTGAAGGAGATAAAATGTACACAGATAAATATAATACAGATCAGACCATGACACATGTATGAGGGTATAAAATGTATGACAGTAGATGAAGGAGAGATCACTTCCAGTTTGCAGCTGGAAGGTGTACCAAAGGAAAACTTCATGGAGGAGGTGCATTTGAATTGGGCTTTGAATAACAGGGAAGATGTCAGTAGGCAGAGATGTGGGGAGGGTATCTGAGGCATATGGAATAGTGTGCACAAAGGTTTAGAATTGGAAAACATGAGATTTCTTCAGGGTACAGTGAATTGGCCAGTTTACAGACTACAGAAGAGGGACTAATATTAATGAGATAATACTGGAAAGTTAAGTTGGAACCAGATTGGAGAAAGTATGAAATGAATCAGCAGAAAATACCAGAAACTCTGTTTTGTTTCTAAGTCTCGAACTTTTAAAAGAAGGCATATGCTTTTTTTGGAAGTTGTTTTTATATCTAAGTATATACTAACAACATCTTGATGCTTCATGGAGATGCATCTACATACTTCATGGAGAAACTCATGACGAGCATGAACAGGCTGCAACACATTACTAAAGAAATGTACAAGAGAAGCAGTGTCCAAAGACATAATCAGAGGGCTATGTGACTAGAAAAGAGGAGTGGGGCAGCCATGCTGCAAGAGCTATTTAAGCAGTAAATGATGGAGATCATATGTACATCATTAGAGTCTAGATCCCGTCAAAAGAAAAAGACGACCTATACCATACTGGGTAGAACCCTTGAGGAGAATCTGTGAGGAAGAGCTACCCAGGATGAAAAACCAAGCATGGGATGCAAACTGCACTATTCGAGGGACCACCCACACCCATGAGATTAGAGAGCCTTCAAAACAGGTATTTCTGACTTAGACATTGGGCTAACAAAACCCAGTGAAATATAAAAAATTCGACAGAACAATATATTCAACCTCTTCACCTGTAGAATGAAAAGCTATAGGCAAATCATGAAAAAGAGGTTGTTTGTTGAGTGTACTTTAAACTTCTATTAGAGTAAAAGGATACTTACCTTACAGGGAGGGAAACCAAAAGGCTATTATTATGTTCAAGCTTGCTCAAATTTATATGACATTTTATGGTTTTCAAAGAACTTTACTCAGAATAATTCTATGAGGTAGGTAGTACCAACACTATTTCCATTTAACAGAGGTTATGGAGGTTTAGTGACTTATCATAGATGTCACTGAGTGGGAACCTGAACCTAGTTCTTCTAACTCCAAGTCCAGGGGGCTTTTTACTATACCATGAAACTTGATTAAGATTAAATAAAATTAAAGGCTAAAATTTCCCCCCTCCCCACAACATACAGCTTTCCCATCATTACAAAGAGGAATGCTGAAAGAAACATACCCATCTGATCAATCTTCACTTTGTCCCTCGGTGGAGACTGTTGTATCTAAAAAGGGGGGGAACCCTCTAAATTAGTGAATTCTAACAAAATCATATACAGACTAGAAAACTAAAGGTTCAGTGACTTTTACCATGAATATTCTTAAAGGTCAGTTAGGCTTAGGAATTTTTACAATGCATTTCACATAACTGGTGTTTACTAAATACTGACTGGATTAATGTTTTCTGTCTATAAAGATAACATTTCTAATTTCTCTTATTGGTCAGATGTACCAGATGAATACAGAGTAGACAGACAGGCTCTGCATAGGAATGCAGAACTGCCTGAATTCATGGAAAAATCCCAAGCAGTAAAACCTCAAGAGTTAGGAAGCACTGGTTGAGAGAAATAGCTCTGACCCATCTTTGACAAGTTGATACAATCAGCACTCATGTGAACCACAACACGTGCCTGTTGACTGCAGAGGCACATGAACAGGAATGGAAGAAGTGATGCCAAGAGATGGCATATCTGCTATCTGGGCTAGTAAGTGCAGACTGGGAAAAAAAAATGCAATGGTCTTTTATTAGACTATTTCCATTGAGAAGTAACAACCAACGCTATATGCAGGGCACTGTTAGGTCCTGAGAGAGACACTAAGTTTAGATAAGAATGGTCTCTGTCCTCAAGAAGCTTATGGTCTACCAAAGAAATGCTTAACACAATATGGCAAATGTATCAGAGTACAAAAGAGAAAAGCTATGAGAAGGTTGAGGGGAAAGGTATCATAAACAATATTCTAGAGGAAATTGCCGCATAAATATCTATCGAATAGAACTGCACATAGCTTTGCTCCTAGAAATCCCTGAGTTCCAGTGCTTGAGTAGTGCAGAAAACAAATTAATATCAATTCAATATTTTAAAAATAATGACTTATATAAGGTTTTCTGATACAGAACTTGCTGTATTATAAGGAAATCTTTTAGGTATTTCAGGATCAAATAAGAGAATAGATAAGGAGCGCTTTGCTGTTTTAATTGTTACACAAACATGAATTGTTATTTAGAAATCGTCTTTGATGATATATACTAAACTAGATACTTACAGTATATCCAAACCTAAATTTAAGGTTTGATTGTATATTGAAACTGCTTAATATAAGAAACCATTAACTTAAAATCTAACTTTATAAAAAAGTCATTTTTCTTTTATTCTAGAATAATAAATTTAGATGTGAAAGGGAGTTTAGAGGTTATCTGGTCAAACCCATCATTTCATAGGCAAGGGAATTGAGTGCCAGAGAAGTGAAGTGATTTGGTTAAGATCAACTGGCCAGTAAATGGAAGAACTAGGAAATATCTAATCAAGGGCTCCTTGTACTACAACATGCTGCCTGCCAAATTTCTGTGCAAAGAAATTTACATAGGGATAGGAAAGCCATTATACTTGAGGAATAAATAATAATGTCATTGTTTTCATGAAAGAAACAATTAGAAGTAAAAATTTTATGTGAATTATCATCATCCAATTCTGTTACCTCAGAACAGTCAAGAGAAAGCCTTTTTATTTTTTCACAGCCATGAGGATTCACCTGGAATTTTTCCATTTTAGCTGAGGGATACAATTTCAATTAAATTTTCTGGTCTAAACTTGTAATTTCATAGGAATATCTAGTAAGAGAACATCTGGTAAGGAAAATCCCTAAACCAATGCAGATCAGCAACTATTTTGCAAATCATACTACGAAATGGTTGCCTTGGGGCATTAAGGTTAAGTACCTTGCTCAGGGTCATATAGTCAGTCTGGATCCAGGTAGGACTTGAACCCAGGTCTTCCTGACTCTGAAGCTAACCCTCCATTCATTAACCTATGCTAACAATACAAAACATTTGTATTGTGGGGGCAGCTGGGTGGCATGGTGATAGAGCACCCGCCCTGGAGTCAGGAGGACCTGAGTTCAAATCAGGTCTCATATACTGACACTTACTAGCTATGTGACCCTGGGCAAGTCACTTTGCCTACCCAAAACAAACAAATAAAAAAAAATTTTGTATTGTGGTATACTTATTTGAAGGGAAGAAATATGTTAATTACTGGAAGATAGGTTTTTCGCTTTGTTTTCAAGATGGAGGTTGGTAAGGAGGAAAAACTTACACTTACAGTATCAGTATCTGTTTTGGAGTCCTCTTCTAAAAAAAAAAAAGAATTGAAAGCTTATTTAGAAAATCAACTTGAATCATTCTATGACTGAAAATATAACAAGTAATTTAACTGTTTTTTTTTTTTAATTAGTACTTACTAATTTTTACTGTTGCTTCTATAGGGTATTTACGAGGTCTTCCTCTTTTCCTTTTAACTATTACAGGATGGTCTTCCTAAGGGAGGAATTGGAAAAAGTCTATAGTAATACTTTCAAAGTCATTTTTTCTAACTACCTACCCCTTGCTACTTTGATATTGAAAAAGAAAATGATGGGAAAAACTGATCTAAGAGGATAAAAAGCACTTGTAGGGCCTTTAACATATCCAAATTCTGACTTTAGTCCAAGTCAATTATGAGCAAAATTTATCATCTACTAACATGAGAAAAAAAAATTTTTTTTTTTTTAAACAAAGGGCTAGCCACCTTTACAGTCTTACACAGATAGTGGCTTAATGTATGTTGTAATAAGGAAGGATCATGAATGCTGTGTAAGGCCTGATCTAGAAGTGGGTCTATCAGAGTAAATTATAGAAATGGCCCATATGATGGAGGGGACTAAAGCTCTCTGTTTTAATAATTTATTGAGTCTGCATGGTTAAACTTTGATTACACTGGCCTGCTTAAATAGTTCTGGTTTAAGAAGGCCGCTATTACAAGCATTTTCCAATATTGTTACTAAGTACATTCGGGGCAAATAAAATATAGTAACTTGGTTGACCTGTAAACCTTATGTCCGAAATACCAGTGGTACAAAGGAGTACTACTATTACTTTGTAGAGTCACAACACTTAGCTGCACAGATTTTACTAATGTATGTGAAAAGAGCCAAAAAAAAATATGGTGAAAATCACAGCCTTTTGGTCACTACTTCAAGACCTCTACTTTCAACTCCATAAGCATTTGGTAAGCGTCTTCTAGGTACCATGTTCTGGAAATACCAACTTTTGAAGCCTAGTGAGCTGTATCAGTCTTTACCTGTGTCCTATCACTGTGATTTATTTTGTGGTAGTTTAACAAACTAGAACTAGAAACACTGGTGTCATCATTTTTTTGTCTTTTTTTTTAATATTAAATTTTTTTTCAATTGTTCAACATTTCCTTTACCTGCAACTTCCTCCCCCCTCCTAATTGTGGAAAAACATTATTAATTTGGTATACTTAAGCCTTCATTTTGGGCAGCTGATGGCCCTTTGGATAGAGTGTTGGGCCTGGAGTCAGAAAAATTCATCTTCCTGAGTTCAAATCTAGCCTTGGACACTAGCTGTATGACCTTGAACAAGTCACTTAAATCTGTTTGCCTCAGTTTCCTCAAGTGAAAATGAGCTGGAGAAGGAAAAGGCAAACCACTCTAGTATCTTGGCCAAGAAAACCCCAAATGGGATCACAAAGAGTTGGACACGACCAAAAAATGACTGAACAACACTAAAGTCCTAATTTCAACTTTCTGGGCAGTTGTGGTGTAAATATTCTACCAGACTCCTTCCTACTTGAGCATCTGGCTGAACAGTCATGAGATGCATGACTTTATCAATACAAATTTTGACTGCTGTGTGGTAAAGGACCAGTGCAGAAGACCTACTCTATAAAATGGCACCTCATTATACCAAAAATTATATATTAAAGGCACTTATCTAACAATTGCACCTTGGTTTCAAAACCTTATTGATTTGGCAAGGTGTGGTATTAGTAATGATAACAACTAAAACTTTAAAACCTGAAAATAATAATGCAATTTACATTTATATGTATTTAATTAATAGTGTACAAAGTGTTTTAATTGCCATTCCTTATGTTCCTCAATGGAACCCTGTGAGATGGGAAGTATAAATATTGTTATCCTAATTTTACAACTGAGGAAAACTGAGGCTCAAGGACAAAGTGCCTTGCTCAAGATCAAATGGTTAACAAAGAAGCAAAGGAAGGACATAAACTTAGGTTTTCAGACTGAAGTTAGTTCTTTTTCTATGACATCACGCTGTCTCCTTTCTTCATGAAAAAATTCTGGGGAGGAAGGCTATTTCTACACTAGTCATAGTGTCTTATATTTCCTTAAAACTAACTTTTATGAAGAATTCAGCACAGTTCCTTATATAAAGTGAATGCTCAAAAATAAAAATGTTGCTTGACTAGTTACTGATTTCATATTAGTGTTTGAAGTACCTTGAATTTGAGCTATAATATTTGAACATAATTTATTTATGTATTTATATTCTGACATTTTTTCTCCGAGAATCAAAACATTTAAAAAACCTGACTAAAAATGCAAACATTTCTTAATGAATACAAGACTACTTGCCTCTGGAGATTTTACACTGTCCTCTTCTTTTTCCTCCTTTGCCTTTTTGTCATTAGCTTCCTTGCTACTATGTTCGCCTGTAGAAAAGGCACAGCTCAGAGGAAATACTGCAATATACACTGGTCTGAGAAATCCTGTTAACCAACACCAACATCACTGCCTCCCTAGCTTATGCAGAGCTATGCTGGTGGTCACAATTACAAGCAAACTATCCAATTCATGTCTATACCATGGAAAAGGCAATTTAACTTAGCATGACTATGTTTAAAAACTAACACAAGGCAACTCACTTTGCACAGATAAGGATCCAAATTAGAAACTAGCATTTATCAATTCCAGACAGTCAAACAAAAAAAGTTAAGTATTTGCTATATTTTTTAAGGAAAAAGATAAGCAACATAGGTAGGTGAAAATTTGTGTTTGTTAAGTAACAAACACAACTGACTAAAGATTACAGGTTGCTCAGAGAAGTGGTATACCTGGTGTCTGAGTACCTTAGCCTCTTTCAAAATAGTTTAGGCTATGTTAATTGCGTATGTTAATTGATGAACACATTTTGTTACTTACCCTTTTCTGCCATAGGCCTTGAAGCAGTATTTTTAATACTTTCTTGGCATATTTCTTCTGCACCTTCAGAACTCTCTTCCTATTCAGTATGTGAAAATAAGTAAGAGTGGATCACTTATTTTTCAAACCCATTTTTTCACCACACTCCATTTCTACATCTATTCCATTTCTGACAAATTATAAAACAGACATACTACATATAACTATTCCTCCTACTACTACAGCTTTTTGGGCAGCTAGGTGGCTCAGAGGATAGAGCATCGGCCCAGGAGTCAGGAGGACCTGAGTTCAAATCCGGCCTCAGACACATAATACTTCCTAACTAAGTGACTCTGGGCAAGTCACTTAACCCCAACAGCCTTTAAAAAAATATACAGCTTTTCAACAATGTTAACATACTATAACTATATCCATCCAGAAGGCTGTAGAATCCCAACCCTGATGTAGTTCACTTAGTTAGTTCTGCCCTAACTACATGTTCTGACAGAACCAATTTACTTAGGTGAAATGTATACCTATAAAAGTCTTTTTATTCCTTCACTTTTGGAGGCTGTTATATGTAAGCCCAGGTTAAAATTTTCAAAACACAAAGATCACGTAAAACTTGTATGCTATATTGCTCAGTACAAACAGCCTGTAGGCACTTAAATTCCCCTTTACTTCCATATATTAGGGAATGAAAACTGATTCTAATTAGTCCAATATCAAAATTGTTTTCCATTCCCTTAACATGTGCTAGATGAGGAATGAAAGCGGAAACCATCCATGGAAACCATGAGAATTCATCATAGATTTATTCTTTCAATTATCTGAGAATTTAAATGTATTGGAGTTTTTTTTTAAAGCTTTACCAGTCATATACGTTTTTCTTTAAATTTTTATTTATGTAGACAGTTATGTACATTTATCATAGTTAAGTGACAAAGTAAACAGGAAGGTAAATATACTCTTCAGAAATGGAAATTAAGGTAAACACACTCCTGAGAAGGAAATGGGAGGAAAAAAAGGGAGTAGGGAAGTGAGGTTTCATTAGTTCTGTTCTGAGAAGTTATGAACAGTTCCAACAACTTAGCATCTACTCCATATCTTTTGTGCATATTTTGATTACTCCAAGACCAGTGCTGAGTATCCTGCCACTGGAAGTATCCCTTCATGGTTCACTGAATTCATTCTCCTTTTGCCCTCCCCTCCCCATTCTCTTTTTCTATCATTCATTTATAACAATAGAAAGTTTTAAAATATCTAAGTGTCTTATGAAAAAGAAAACAGCATTGAATGGAGCTTGTCTGATCTAAAATACAGTCAACTTTACGTTAACAGTTTCACCTTCCTAATTATATTTTCAGCCTCAAATGGAGGTATGAGCTTTAGCATCTTCCTCATCGAGTTGTAAGAAATCTCTATATAGTAGCTATTTTTTTAAAGTGGAAATTAAAGTGGGCATTAGAATGAAAAAGGAGTATTATAAGAATTCACAGCAATATAATCAGTTTTACACCCCCCCCCCAAAAAAAAGGAGAGAGAGAAAGAAAACAGCACACACTATAAAATACCTTTATAACTTGTGGTTTTGTTTCAGAACACTGACTCTGTACCACTTCTTTGCTTGAGTCCAGGCTATCATCTGTATTCGGTTTAGACACAATCAGAGAAAGATAAACTTTAAGAGACCAATTACATAAAAAAAAATTTATTCCAGGTCCAAATAGTGTCTGATGCCTTTTTAAAAAATTACCACAACAGAACTATTTCTAAGCTATGAATTATAGTGAAGACAAAAGTGCCATATAACCAAATTAAGATCTGAGAACTGAATATTGGCTTCTGACTTCAGTAAAGTAAACTATACATGGGTCACTGGACGGAGTTTGTAAAACCATAATGAACATCTCAGTGGTAATTCCTAATAAATGAACATTAACCTCCAACTTTTTGGAAGCACTAGGGTCTTGTCTCTCTTGTGACTCTGTATCAGTCTTAGAATGCATATGTAATAGATAAAATGATGACTTTCACCAACAAAACAAAAGATGTGGTTAAATGCATACTTTATTTTCATGTTAAAATCTAAAAATTTTTCCTGTCTAATCAATTTGCAATTGTATAGTAGAGTTACAAGGAAAAAAAAGAAGCAACATAACTTTATAAACAGAAATCCATGTAAAGATAAAATAGTTTTCTTCTGTAAGACAGTGACAGGCCATATGGGCAGAGAGGAAATACATGACATTATCAATCTTCATTAAGTTTCTAATTTTGATCTGTATTCAAATAGGTAATAGTTAGGTGGCACAATACACCGGTTTGGGAACTAGGAAAACTCATTTTCCCAAGTTGAAATAGGCCTGAGACACTTAGAAGCTGTGTGACCCTGAACAACTCACTTAATCCAGTTTGCCTCAGTTTCCTCATCTGTAAAATGTGCTGGAGAAGGAAATGGCAAACCACTCCAGTATCTTTGCCATGAAAACCCCAAATGGGGTCACAAAGAGTTGGACACAACTGAAGTGAGTGAACAACAACAAAGTCTCACAGGCAAATTAGGAAAATATGGTTCTGATTATACTACTCATATAAGTGAATATGACTGTGGTTTGAAGATCAAATCAAAGGCCTGATATCATCCTGGGAAGCCTGAATCAAAGGGATTAGTACTAAGGATTATTCAGTATCTTTCATGATAATTTGAACAAAGAATCAACAGTATGTTTATCATGTGGATTATACTAAATTAGGTTGTCACTAATTGTTAATATTCTAGAATGAAAAACATAATTCAGTGGAAAAATGCTATTATAAGAATGAGATAAAATTAAATATGGACAAATGAGAAGTAGTCCAATTACAGATTAAAAAAACCAATAATATAGTAGCATGTGGCAATGGTTCCCAAGGTTTCTTATTTCATGAACCCCTTTCAAAAAGAACAACAAAAACCGACAATAACAACAAAGTGCTGTGAACCCCCAGGGTAATTTAATATACTATTTATAATACTCTTTACAACTCTTTATTGCTTAAGGTGCTATCAAGGACTTTTTAGTTTGAACCCTGGATCATCACTGCCAACCTTGATGTACTCTAGTCAGGACACTTAGGTATTAGGGGTCTGGACATTAGATATGTGACTGGGCAAGTCACTTTTTTGGGCTAGCTCCATCACTTGTAAAATAAGAGGGTCAGATTAGGTAATCTTCAGGTTTTTCTCAACTTCATTCTATGATTCTAAATATAGGATGAGGTGGACAGGAAACAAAGACCTTAGTGTCATAAACTATAAGTTAAATAAGAGCCACTAATTGCAGAACGGTTGACAGGATGGTCTGGTGGAAAGAGCTGGAGTCATTCTCATTCCCAAAAGGAAAAGCACTTAATAAATGGCTGGTAATTGGCTGGAATTCAAATATTAACTGGTATGTATGAATGGTAATGTTCTGAACATCACTTACATGAGTATTAAGTACAGTATAGATATCAGTACATCAATAGGACAGTCCATGCATTGGGTTTTTGTCTAAACTGTTATTATGTACCAGAATGGAAGGGAAATTATGGGGGCAGATAATTATTAAAGTGGCATCCTTCCTCCTTCCTTTAACCATAGAAAAATAATTTTGTCATGGGTCAAAAGGTTGGAAGGAACTTGGAAGCTATCTAATCCAAACTAGAATTTCTTCCATAGACATCTTTACCAACTTGTCTTCCAGCCTTTCCCTGAATAACTCTAAAGAGAAGTCTATTTTATTCTAAGACAGTCCTTCCCACTTTTACACAGCTCTAATTATTACTGTTTTTCCTAATATAGAAGTTAAATCTGCTACTATGTAACTTCTGCCCATTGCTCTTAGTTCTTCCCTGCGGGGCCAAATGCAAAGGTCTAATCCTTCCTCTACAGGGTAACTTTTAAAATACTTGGAGATGCTTTCTTGTCTTTTTCCCACTGCCAATTCTTGTCTTCTCAGGCCCAGTTACATGAATAGATCAGCATGGTCTTGAGGGCTTAAAAAAAAAAAAAACTATCATGCTTTGAGCTATCTACCTCTGGATGTGCTCTAATTTGTCAATATCATGGTCTTAGAGGTGGGGTCCAGAACTGAACACAATAGTCCAGATAGGTGCAATGGGACCAGCCATATTTCAGATGTTCTTAAAAAAGATTTAGATTACTTATAACTAGGGAATATGAAAAATTGGGGAGCACTTAGTTTGGCCTGAGGTCTTCCTTAACTCAAATGACCTTGGGAGACTGAGTAAATTCTAAGACTAATCTGGGGGGGTGGGTGGCTGGGGTTCAGTTGTACTATAAGAAATAAGGAGGATCTTGGACGTCCTAGACCAGCGTGGAAAAAAGCTACACCTTCAGGTCTGTGTGTAAGGCAAAGAAATGGCTCACATACATTAATTTTCTGTCCTATTTATCAACCAATTTAAATGTGGGGGAGTATAATATTTTAAAGTTTTGAAAATGGTAACAAATGTAGAGGGTTGACTTGATGGACAGGCAGAGACAGACTCATTAAGCCCAGAAGATGGCAGCAAATGGGGAAATGGTGGAATAGCTAGAATTCTTCAACCCAGGCAAAGAGAGCCAGGGAAGAGACATGGCCACAGGAGAAGAAAACATGTGGCTGAGTGGTGGGAGTTCCTGGACAAACACCAAGAAATCCTGGATGGAATATCAAGCATGTGACCTCAGAGTTGGATAAGCAGCAAGAGACTGAGCCATGACATTAAGGATCCAAATGCTGGTGTTCATGGTTATCTTCTGTTAGTACCAAAAATTATTCGGACTATGTAGATTAATGAGAATGGGGAGGGGTTACACTTCTAGCAACTTCCAAGTTAATTTTCCTCCGAGAGGAGTTCTAGCCCTTTAGGGTAGTATATAAGGCCGGAGTATTATACAGGTCCTTAGTGAGATAGTAAGATTTATTAGAATGTTAAGGGTTGCTTCTCTAGCAATATGAAATTTGTTTCCCTTCTGAGATAAGTCCGAAGCTTTAGAATACTGTCATCAGGCTGAAGGCCTATAAAGGTTCCTCTGGTGAAGGTGGAATTCACTACAAAGTGAAGGAGAGTTGTATTGACTACTTGTGGGTTACTATAATTTCTTTGCAGTGTTTTGCATTTTTGGTGCAGTGAAGAGTTGTCCTATATATACTCAGTTGCATTTGTTGGAGGTACAGCCCTTTTATTCATACCTATGAAACTTAGGTGAACTATATTCCAAGTTTCCCAAAGGAAACTCAGAGAGGGGGCAAAACAAGCCAAAGACATATGATTTTGGTGAAGTCTCCAAGACTGAACCTGTTTCATGTAAACCGAGACTTTGGGGTTCTAGTCAGTAGATTACTTGAAAATAACAAAACATCTCCATGAATTTTAATTACCTAGTTCATCTTCTGAAAAGGAAGAATGTTTTTTCCTTTTTCTTCTAGGTATATTATTTCCATCTTCTTGGCAAGGAAATTCTACCTGTAATTAAAAAGGAATATGACAAATGGGGTAAGAGGATTTGGATCCTGAGTCACTGGAGTGACATAGCTATATTATTAGCAACATCTAGATTCGAAAATGGATTTACAACACATGAAAAAATCTAGAAATTTATCAAATTAATTTGAATATGCCTTCCACACGGAGTGTGGAAAAGTGCTGAGACTCCTTCCATTTCTGATTCTAAATACACCTAAAATACCTAGATTTGTGTTAAGTCAAAATGCCTAATCTATATGCAAATAAACAATCTAGATGTGCAAAGTAGGCATAATAATTATTCACATTTATGTAATACTTTAAGTTTAAAGTGCTCTAACTCCTTCGGCAAATATTAACTTTATTTTATAGATGAGAAAGCTGAGGCTAAATGACTAAGCATCTAATTTATGTTCCCACAAATAGTGAGCATTAGAACTAGGTGTATTCAAATAATCTCTAATTTGCTGTCATGCTTAAAGAAGTGCTATGTTCAAAAATTCATTTTGTAAATATGTCATAGTTTGTAGGAACATGCACTAGACTGTGAGTTAGGAGACCTGTGCTCTAATCTTAACTCTGCTCTTGATCAGTGATGAAACCTTGAACAAGTTGCTTCTTCAGTCTGGGTCTGCTTTCTTATCTGTCAAATAGCAGAATGAATTAGATGACTAAGTTTTCTTTCAGCTCTAAAGTTCTATGTTTTATTTAAATTATGTCAAGAAATTGAGCTTCTCACTCATATTTTTAAAGCTTCAGTTTAATAGAATAACCTACCTCTTCTTGAGCTTTCACTTCAATGGTCTGACTTTGTACAGCTTCCAAGATGTCCTTTTCATTGGTAGGTCTATCTACTGACAATCAAACGTAAAAATTATTAGTCATTCACTCTAATGATCATTATGAGGCTTGGGAAGCTAAATTAACAAGCTCTTCAGAATTGCAAATGGGAGTAAAACTCTCCTTTTACTCAACTCTTGGAATCTCTATTGGAACCTGAGTTATATCCAGTAGTTTTGTATGAACTTATCATGTAATATTTCACACTGTAGTTATTTGTATTGGTGTCATAACACAGCCCTTCAACTAGATTTTAAGTAAGGTGACTGAAGAACTATCTACACTTTTTACCCTCTTCAGAGGTTAGCATGTTGCCAAGTACAAAGTATAAACTTCATTGTTATTTGTTGTGAGAACTGTTCCACTGATGGCGTCCAGAGTCTGCACCTAATGAAATTCTTTAATCTGAATTTAAAAGTTGCACAGGAAACTGATGTACAGAATGTGAAGCTGTGAGAATGCCCAAGAGAACTGACTGTTCCAAGTCTACTCCTAACCTAGGCTGCACCTCTCCAGAGGATCAGGCCCACAAGCTACAACTGGACTCAAAGCCAGGTTGACAGCAGAACAATTTCTCAACCTTCAATCTTGCTGTGAAGAAGATTCATCTTTCCTCTTAGTAGAATGAGAAGGACTCTCCTTAGCCTGACCATGGTAGGAGGATGGGTTTCTTAATTCCAAGTGGTCTGATCGTACTGTGTCCTAATGGATGCAAGGCCCTTGTCTTGATTGGTCTATCTCCTCCCATGCCTTAAGCAAGGTGCTCTGCATATGGTTCATGATAGATGTTTGTTACATGAAGAAGCTGCATCTCTAAGGAAAGGCATGAACCTTACGGCAGTAAATAAATAAAAAAGCTGTTAACCTGGAGAAAACAAGTTTTAGTGTAAATCATTATTATTCTGAAATTTATTTACCTTTTACTTCATCAGTGCTTTCTGAAAACTTTGTTTTCCTTTCCTTGCAACTGTGAATGTCTTCATTTGTTTCCAAGTCTGAGTTGTTTACCTAAAATGAAAAATATAAAGTCATTTAATGTCATTCTCTTTAAGAGATAAAAACTGAAAACAATTTTAAATAATAACTTTCAATCAATTATAAATGGAAGAGAATGTAGTACACATTTTTTTCATCTCATACAGAACCTCTAGACCTCTGAGCATATTACTACCTTCCTTTAAAGAGGTTCATGTAGGATAGACTTTTGCCCAAATAATTTTTCTGAACTGTTTTTAAAGAGTTAAGGGAGGGGCAGCTAGGTGGCACAGTTGGTTACTAGCTGCGTGACCCTGGGCAAGTCACTTAACCCCAATTGCAAAAAAAAAAAAAGTTAAGGGGAAACTCTATTTACAGTAGAAGAGGGAAAGTCACTTTCTTATACCCTCCTTCCTCCAACCTTATTCATTTTGCCTTTTACCTTCAAAACCCTGAAGGGTAGAAGTAAGGTCTGTGGGTAAAATTTCTTATTTTTAAAACAGGGGACTGGATTAGGTGACTTCTTAGCGCCTTGTAGCTTTAAGATACTATGACTTAGCAATCAGCTGCAAATTGGGCTTAACTGTCAAATTTATGTAAGACACCCACAGGACTAATTTTTTTAATTAAAAATGGGTTTTAAACTTGTTTTATATATTTCAAGTATATCATGGAAGGTATCAAATTAGCCAATTTGAATATTTCATTTTCTTACTTTAAACCTACAATCATAATGTAGCCTAAAATCCAAAAGAAAAATGCTATAAATTCAGAATCATGAGTTTATCTAACAAATATTTAAGCCAACTGGCTTCCATGATATAGATTATAAACCTAATTCTCAGCTTGGCTAAGTATAGGTACACATTTTAATAATATGACATGTGGGAACAAATTTAAAATTAATGTCAGTTGGATGTCTACCTTTATTCTTGAGATAAACCCCTGGGGTATCCCTAACAATGACACAAACTGTAAAAAAAATTCCCAACAACTAGATTCAACAATTAATAGACTTACATTTGTTGACTTATTTTCCAATGCTGTAATTTTCTGTGGTTCAACTGTTCAAAAACAGAATTAAAACATTTTAAGGAAATTCAATATTATAGCACAAGTTGTAAAGTCTCCTGTCCTTCAACCAATCAATCAATCAATCAATTAGCATTTACTCTGTGCCAGACACTGTGAATAAAACAGGAAAAATCAAACAGCCCATTCCTTCAAGGAGTTTTTATTTTCTATAGGGGGAACAACATATACACATAAGTATATATAAAATATATAGAAGGTAATGAGAGGGAGTAGTACTGACAGCCGATGGGGATCAGGAAAAGATTTTTATATAGCATAAATATACATGCCACTAACTCTACATTTTTAGTATAACAACCATGGTTTGCTATACTAGAGGAATTTAAACTGAAATTGTTGGTGAACGGAGCATGGGCGGAAAAGTCAAAACACGACGTATCTCCAACAAGTAAACAACTTATTAGAATCAAAGAATTAAGGTGAAGTCTCAGAAGTCATCCTGGGCCATCTCATCTATATAGGAAAGATTTTATAGATGAGACTGAGGCCCAGCACATTTTATACCCTTAAGTTACAGCGTAACCCTCTTTTTCTTTATTTTTTGTCTTTGTACCCTCAGCACCTAGCACAAGTAGGGAGACAGGACCAGTGATTTCACTGGAAATTCAGTGGGAACTCCCTACCATCGCAAAACTCTTTACCAAGGAAATAAAACTCTCTACCAAGGTAGGCTGGCACCTTTTCTGAAACATATAGTCTTAGATAGGTGCCTAGAGTAGTGGTATCAAACTCAAATAGAAACAGGGCCATTAAATCTTACATAAGGATCCCTGTGGCTGCATAGACTTCAATTACATTGTAATATGGTTCCAGCTGCATTCTGTGGGGGTGGCAATGTCCTGTTTTGACACCTTTGGTCTAGAGCACTGAGAGGTTAAGTTACTTGCTTAGGGTTGTTGCACAGCCATGTGTCAGAAGTGGGACCTGGGGGGCAGCTAGATGGTGCAGTGGATAGAGCACTGGCCCTGGATTAAGGAAGACCTGAGCTCAAATCTGGCCTCAGACACTTGACACTTACTAGCTGTATGACCCTGGGCAAGTCATTTCACCCCACTGCCTGGCCAAAACAAAGGAAAAAAAAGAGAAGTAGTGGTACCTGAACTCAGGTCTTCCTGGCTTCAACGCTAGCTTTCTATTCATGAAGCCAGAAATGAACACTCGCATAATCTTTTAAAAACTCAATTGAGAAGTAGGCCCTATACACTCAAAAAGCAATGATTTATTTACATTCTTTGGAACCTGGACTAATAGACCTGCTGTTCAGGCTCAACAACGACAGAAAATACATTTTTCTCTTTAATAACTTCCTATTACATAAGCAGATCTTTTCGTGAACTGGATCTTAACACAGTGAAATGAGTTGAACTACATCATGATTCTGAATGAAACATTTTAGAAATCCTGAAATCTATCACTGAAACTTATCAAATGGATAATTATGATGTATCTTGAAAGACTTGAACCAATACAGCCTCAACATACTGAAAAATCTGTCAGATTCTGGATGACAAATCTCAAGTTTTTGAAATGCTAGCATTAGGAAAAAACAAAACAAATCTTACAGTAGTTTCACAGTTTGGGGTGGAGAAAGGGGAAACATTGTTGTTTCTTTTCCCAATGATTTTCTATATAAAACCTAATGAACTTGTTATATTACCACAAATGAATGGAAAAAGTTACATATACCCAGTATCACATACTCCCTTCTCAAACACTCCCTTCTAGTAATTTTCCGAAAATAGTTGTCTCCAAGATCACAAGGGACTCAATTATCAAATATAACAGCCTTTTTGAAGTCTTCATCTCTTTTTCCTCTTTGTAGTATCCAAGTGCTCACCTCTTTTAGGATACTGTCTCTATCCTTGTCTTCTCAATGCTTCATTGTCCTAGTACTCATCCTATGGGTTTTTTGGTCCCTGATACCACCACTGGTGTTATTCTTCATTCTTTTCTCTCCTTTCAATCAGTTACCAAGTCTTGTGGTTTTTTTTTTTTTAACTTCCATGACATTCTTACTCTTATCATCCTAATCTAACAGGCCCTCCTTATCATCTACCTAGAGTAGTCTCCTAACATATCTTCCTCTTTTTTTCTTTCTACTCCAATTCTCTATAACACCAATCTTTCTTATGCTTAAATCTAGGCACGTCATTCTACCATTCAAAATCCTTTACCAACTCCCACAGTCTAAGTAAAATTTAACTACCAGTGTCTGACACTTAAGGTCTTCTATAATCTGGTACAGCCTTTAATTCCTCTATTCTCTGTTTCAATTAAACTTGTGCCTGGGGCTATATTTCTTTTTGCCTCTGGCTCATGGCATTTTGTCCCTTCTGGGTCACCTCTGCCAGTAAAATTCCTACCCATCCTTTAAAATCCAACTCAAAGGAATCCCCTTCCAGGAAGCCTTCCCTAAGCCCTTAGGGGAATCAATGTCCTTTCTCTCCCTGCACCTCCCATTGTGCTTTGGTGGTACCTGTTCTATATATTTATTATATACTGCTTTCTATCGCAACTTTTTTTTGCTTATATGTCATATCCATCTACCAGAAAAAGTTATATTTACTTAAACTTATCTCTCTAGGTGTCTAGAGTAGCTTCTGCACACAACAGGCACTTCCAATGTTTGCTAAACTGAATCGAAATAAACAATTTAAAACTGCTTTTTGCTTTGAATCTATTCAAACACAAAATAAAGTATTATTAATCTTGTGTTGTAAAAGACAGTAGAAGTCAGGAGATGCAGTTTCTAGTTGTGGCCCTGACAAACCAAACGTATGAAGGACGTTACTAAATTTCTTTGGGTGTATTTCATCATCAGCAAAAGGAGAGGAATTTGCTTAGATCAGAGGTTCTTAAACCATTTTTGTTAAGGTTAAAATCTTCATGTTTCCCCCACTACTTTGGCAATCTGGTGAAGCTGAAATGTTCTCAGAATATTTTTAAATGCATGAAAGAAAATATATGTGATATATGCAATATATTACAAACATATAATATATTGTGGGGTCTATCCCATAGGATTATTATGAGGATCAAAGGAAATACATGTATACAAAAGTACTTAGCAAACTTTAAAGTGCTCTAGAAATGTCAAGTATTATGACTACTAACATAAGAAAGAATATTGATAAGCTAGATGACTAGAAGAATGAGGGTATTATTAACTGTTCTCTAGAGAGTAGCTATAAGAACTGGGGGATCATTTGCTTGAAGAAGATAAATGAGGGGGAGAGAGTCATGGGAGCCATCTTCAAATATCTGAGACTGTTTCAAACAAGGATTTGACTTGACTCCTCAGAAGGGAGAATTATGAGCAATGTACTGAAATTATAGAAAGAAAGATTTTGGTTCTATATAAGGAAGAATCTAGTAAGGACTGCTTCAATAGAAAAGGAGGCTCCATATCTGTGTAGATCTTCAAGGAGAGGTGGAATGACTTAGTTATAAGGCATACTGCAGAGATGATTTCTGCTCTCACATAGGTTGAACTAGACAATATCCGATGGCAGTGGTGTGCTGGTAAATGTTGCCTACTTCAATCCTGAGATTCTATGCGCTATATACTGAGGCAAGAGCTTTATTTTCTGATCTAAAGAAAAAAGTTAACATTCATAGACATCAAGCATATTTGTGAGGAAATATCTGATGTTAACTCAACATTAAATAAGACAAGAATAGGGATCAGACCTATGATTTCACAGGTGTAGAGAGCTCTGCTCTAGACGGCTGGATGGCAAAGTGGATAAAGCGCCGAAGCTGGAATTAGGAAACCCAGCCTCAGATACTTGATGGGCAGCCCTGGGCAAGTCATTTAACTGCTCTCTGTTTGCATAACTGTAATAACAGGCACATATATCTCAGGGTTGCTTTGAGGATCAAATGTGATATTTGTAAAGTGTTTAGCACAAGGCTTGGCACATAGTAGGTGTTATATAAATGCTAGCTATTATTAGCATTACTATTAACTCTCCAGTGAGAAAATTTCCTCCCTCAGTGTGAGTTGGCATCTTTGGTCTTAGTGAGGTCTTTGGAGCACTGAGTGGTAAAGTAACTTGACCAGGGTGACACAGTCTTATGTAAGGAACAGGACTTGAACCCAGGTCTTCCTGGCTCTAAGGCCAGCTCTCTGACCATCATATTATGCTATTTCTTGAATAGCTAATACTTGAAATCTGTGTAAGTCAGAAAGATCAAAATTGTTGATTATTTAAAGTGGTATATCAATCAGAAAAACTAGTGTTCTCTCTTTTTATTTCCATTTTTCTAATGGGGAATCATAGCTCTTTCTGTGGTTCTTTTCCCACCTTCAATCTGGGAAAAAAAAAAGCCTTGAGTCTAAAGAGCCAACAAGGAATTTACCAATTAAGAACAGAAAGTACCACAAAATTATAAATTATTTTCCAAAACAATATTCTAGAGCTCTGATCTTGGAGATGCACTATACCACCCCACCCCACTTTGGAGCAAGTACAGAGGATTCCATTTAGTTGTCCAATACTATAACATCAACTTAAAACTTCTAGATGTGACTAATCCTATTCTCAAAAATTAGCAGAATTTCACAAGTATGGAGTTTGAAGTACTCAAAGGGCAGAAGCTTGAGTTAAGTTCTCAAAATGTCAATGGCAGAACCAGAACTGTTAACCTACTTGTTCAATTAATTTAGTTTTGCTCAAATTACATTTGCTTTTAATGTTCTAAGACAAATCCTAATAAATTAAGATCATTAAAAATCTTCTGCTTATTTACAATAACCATCTGATAATTTTAAATTATTACCAGCCAGATTATTTATGGACAAGTAATTTATTTCATTACTTTCGTTTCATTACTAATTTTTTTTTCCATTTGTACCACTCACAAAATTTTCTTCATTTGTACCACATATGTTTTTATGACAACATCTATACAAATGCTAAAACTATCCTGATGTTTGTAATCAGCAGAGGGAAAGTCCTTTTAATTT